TCCTGACGATCCGTTTAGGTGAAACCTAGGTAGGTTTGTCTGGCTCACTAGGTGTATATATATATATATATATATATATATATATATATATATATATATATATATATATATGATCTCAAACTTAAAAAACGAAGATTAAGATTTCAGTGTTCAGAACATTAATGTAAAACAGGGATCAATACAAAAAGTAGAGAAGTAAATATTTATTATACAATGTTACATTAGAACATGTACATACCCACTACAAAACTGTACATCTTGCTTCAACGTTAAAAAATTATTTTTTATATAATATATATGATTTTCTAAAATCATTTCACCAGAAGCAAGGTGATAATGCACTAGGACGCAAGGTGTTACTAGGAATGAAAAAGAATACGACTTTAGGGAGAGGTAAGGACGATAAAAAAACAGCTTTCAGGAATACAGAAGAATAAATTGACGTTGCATTTAAATTTTTGAAGAGTGTATTTTTCAGCATGCCCACGTCGCTACCGAATGTGACACAAGGTCATTTTAAAATGTAGGTTTAACCTTTTGGGGATGCCTCAGCTGGCGTGGTGGTGGGGGGCTTGGGTGGTTGTGCTTAGAATTATTTGAACTTCTGAAAGGGTCTTTTTGAAGATTGTACGTGGTGAGAAATCGAGAGCGAGTTCCACAGGCGAGATGTGCAAGAATAAAACATACAGTTGCATCTAGCTGGTTTAGTTGCAAAACGGTGAGACCTAATTGCCAATCTAGTAGTACGTTTAAATTTATCCAATCGAGGCGCCAAGGAGGAAAGTTCATCAGAACAATTGCCATGAAAATATTTATAGAAAAGACAGGGGGAAGCCACGTCACGGTGATTGGAAAGTGGCTGGAGTCGAGATGCTGAGTTAGGACTGATAACATTACAAACCGTTCTTTGGATTTTGTCAAGACTTTCGAGATATATAGTAGGAGAACCAGACACAATATGGCAGAAATATTCCATGCACGGACGACTAGTAAATTTATAAATGTGCAAGACGGATTCTGACAAGATACAGTGAACCAACCTTCCTAGAAACAGATGTATCAATTGATTCAATATAATCCACTTCGTGTCAGTGGGGCACAATGTGAGTTTATATATTTATCAGTTACCTGAACTTATCTCCCCTTATTAATGAGATATTCCTTCTTATGGTAACAGGAACGTTATGCTTCGTTAATAAGTGAACATGCTTCTTGTTATTATGAGAACTGAATATCAGATTAAGTATGGGGATCAAGCTGCTTATATATAATGTCTGTTAGATTTCTTTAGATAGTTTAACTGATTTAAAAATAAGATAACCGAAAAAGGCATAGCACGTGGAATTAGCACCATGGGTTCGTTCGTAATCCCTACGTATATCACCTGAAGAAGGCCAGGACGTAGAACGACCGAAATATCGTGAATATGACAATAAAGATGACAACAGTCTGAATGGTGTAAATAGTTAAAAATAAGAATTCTTTCTTAGTTAATTCTATAGAAAAACAAAACAAAACACTACCCATGCAGAAAATGTAACTAAAGCATTTAAAAAATTACTTAAACATGGTCAGAAAAGAAAATGTGAACTCTACTGAGAATCAAAGTGTCTTTGGGAATCGTTTACAAAATCCGAGAGGAGAATTGGAAAAGAGATGAGATTGTACGACGTTGGAGTTTGAGAGAATATCAGTTATGTGTCATGAGTGATACATGCTTAAGTGATCATGTATCTTGACTGACGAAGCAGATTTTATTTTCCCGTAGTAGGTTGCCATCTCTTTCTGCGGTAGACCAGTTACCATCCAAGGCTATAGAACTCGGTCTGTCCTTCTATTTCTCCATAACTGGGTGGAGGAGAAAAAGATTCATACTTTTCCCAAGGGTATTAACACGTAAGAGAATATAATGGCTTCGACTAGAATTCGAACTCCGATTCCTCAATCTGAATCGCTATCCATTACTCCACCGTGTCTCCTTGAGAGAATATAGAAAACGTTATTGATTATTTAAGTAAGTTTTTTTTTCTTTTTCTTTATTTCCTTTATTTTCTTTTTGTAGAAGTTCGAGAACAACCAATGGCGTTAAACCTCTTCGGTTCAGGGAGGTGTAGTAGGTTGGTAAATAGGAGTGTACCTATTTGCATATGTTCAGGAGAAGAGATATAAAAGATAGAGTAAACTAAAAGACAGGCAAGAAATTGACTACTGATCACATGTCGTAAACCAACAAAACACAACACTTTTTTCCACGTGATTTTCAGGCAGAAAAAAAAGCTACATTGTGCAAACCTACTGATAAAGGATTAATTAGCGTACACTGAAGTGCGTCTACTATTTTTATTTTCATTTTATTTTATTTTATTTTTATTTTATTTTAATTTTATTTTATTTTTATTTTTATTTTATTTATTTTTATTTAATTTTATTTTTATTTTATTTTTAATTTATCTTTGTTTTATTTTTATTTTAATTTTTGTTTTAATTTTATTTTTATTTTAATTTTATTCTATTTTTTTTATTTAATTTATTTTAATTATTTTATTTTTATTTTTTCATTTTTATTTTATTTTTTCTTTATTTATTTTATTTTTAGTTAGGGTCAGAACAAGCAGTGTCATTTCATGGGTGGAGGTGCATTTTAAAATATTACTAAAAAGAAAAAGTTATGAAATCCACATAGATGTAAGCTATCATTTGATCATTGAGAGAGAGAATCGTCAGTTTCTCACTATGCTATAGTTTCGGGGATTCAAGATACAAAAATTTCTATTTGTACAAGCATAACTTAGCAGCAGTGCTCATGACGCACCACCTTCCCTTCAAATCTCTCATCCGGTTAAGCAACAGAACCATCAAATAGAGCGATATGAAGGAAATATTGATAAATTAAATAGAAGAGAAACAAAATAAGCAGCTAAAACCAAATGAAAAAGAGAGTAGAATCTCGCATATTCGGAAGGCCTTAGTCCGGTTGTCAGGGATTCTACTGTAAAACCTAAGTGCCAAGTAGGCTTTTCACTTGTTGCAGGGTTCAACACTTTTGATATGAGGTGTGGACGATTTTTTAGTAAACGTTTAGTGCTCCGGGTTTGGTTTATTTTTTTTTATTTTTTTTACGGCATATCAACCTCAGTGGGTTATTTAATGCCGACAAGACTTTTATTAATGCTGGTAGTATTTTTTTCCAAAATTGTATTGCTGGTAACATTTTCTTTCCACAAATGTATTGCTGGTAATATATTTTCCCAAAATGTATTGCTGGTAATAATTTCTTTCTTCAAAAAATGTATTGCTGGTAACATTTTCTTTCCACAAATGTATTGCTGGTAATATATTTTCCCAAAATGTATTGCTGGTAATAATTTCTTTCTTCAAAAAATGTATTGCTGGTAATATATTTTCCCAAAATGTATTGCTGGTAATAATTTCTTTCTTCAAAAAATGTATTGCTGGTAATAATTTCTTTCTTCAAAAAATGTATTGCTGGTAATAATTTCTTTCTTCAAAAAATGTATTGCTGGTATTAAAACCTATTTTTATACTTTCATAGTGTTTTGACCCCCTTTCATGGGGGTCATAGCTGGGACCCTGACAGGTACTAACATCCCGGGTCAGGGGTAGTTTCAATTAAGAGGTGGTTCCACGCTCTATCAAAACCTCCTGCTGTTGGATATAGTTTATCGTCTTACCCAGGACACGGATGTAGTTTATCGTCTTATCCAGAACGATTTACGGCTCTTGATACATTTGTTCCGCAAAATTCATGGAATTTAAACAAATATTAACAGATATATTCATAGGACATATTAATAAAAGGAAAAATGAGAAAATAAAATAGATGTGAAAATTACAGGATCTGTTACTCGAATACTTACATGCCGACAGAATGAGAACAGGGCGTCTTTTCACTTTCAACGTCACCAAGGACAGAGGAAGATTCTTTCAAATCTCGCACCGCCTGTAATTATCGTCAGGGGACGGTAATCCAACACACTAGATTGACAGACATCAATAAGCCTAAACTATTCTTTTATAACTGTTTTTTTTTAATTTAAAATAATGAAAATAAAGCTTTATCTATTTCATATAGGACATAAATGAATGGAATCGTCCGTTTATTTAAATAAACGGAGTTGAGCAAAGTTAGCATTAGGTCTTAGCCGCGCGCTAAGCTGTTAGTGCTTGTCGAACTCTCTGCTTCCGAGCGGAGAGGAGCCTAGACGAGCCTATGCCGAAGGGCAGAGTCTCGTCCGGGCAGGTAAACAAACCAGAACCCGTTATTAAGGGGTCTACGGGGAATTTTTGTCCGGGCCTACGGGCTCGGAAAAACCCACGTTAAACTGGCCTTTTGCCACATTCCGCTCTGTGGGGAGCTTGGGTAAATACCGAGTTAGCATTAGGCCAGTTGCCTTCGTGTAGTAAACCTTCTATTTCATTACTTAACTACGAGTTTGTCTTCCTTATTTATTTCCCTTTGTCATCTTGAAAACAGTAGATACAACAATCTACATGGCGAAATCCAAGCAATCCGATTGTAAAAATGGACGTCTTCTTTTTCTCGTGATTGTAAAGATCAATTGAAACATAATAATGATTTTTTTCCTGTCTCTTTGTCACTTGTGTCAAGTTAAAGCAAGCAGATATACCGAGTGTTTTCTGCTCTGGTCCTAAAGTCCGACCTGCAGGTAATAAAGTAGGCAACATATCCACTAGGCCAGATTTCTGGTAAGAAACAATTTGTAAACATTAGGTTAGGTAGAATGTATAAAAATCGTACAATAACTTTACGCCTAAGAGGAACTCTTTGATCAGGAAGCAGAGCAAAGATAGAATCTGATTTTAGGCAGAAGTGCAGATCGATATATAATTTATTTTCTTTTGCTTTTTTGACAAACACAGTTTAACACACTTATTCTTCATTTACAATTTATTCATTGTTTGTAAGCATTATATATAAAATATGCTCTTCAGATATTGTTATAAAGAGGATTTGGCTTACGGACACATCACGTTGAAACACCGATTCCCGTACGATCACCGAAGTTAAGCAACGACGAGCCTAGTCAGTATCTAGATGGGCAACCGTTTGGGAATACCAGGTGCTGTAAGCTTGGATGTGCGGGTGGTGTAATGGATAATGGCTCGGAATTGTTAATCAGAGAGTCGAGTTCCTGTACGATCACCGAAGTTAAGCAACGTCGAGCCTGGTCAGTAGCTAGATGGGTAACCGTTTGGGAATACCAGGTGCTGTAAGCTTAGATGTGCGGGTGGTGTAATGGATAATGGCTCGGAATTGTTAATCGGAGAGTCGAGTTCCCGTACGATCACCGAAGTTAAGCTACGTCGAGCCTGGTCAGTACCTAGATGGGTAACCATTTGGGAATACCAGGTGCTGTAAGCTTGGATGTGCGGGTGATATATTGGAGTATATATATACTGGAGTATATCACCCGCAATTGTTAATCGGAGAGACGAGTTTCAATTCCAGTTAGGTTTGTTATATATATTTGTCCGCAAATACCCTTGGTAAAGTTATGAATCTGTCTCTTCTCCTCCATCTATGGGTTAATTAGTAAGTCTTGTATCACTAAATCATTAGATAGCCGTTCGAGTTATGACTGAATAGTTTGCCGTTTCTTTCTACAATTAAATCATCGTTATCTAAAACAAATCCTTAAAAAAAGTCTGGCTTTAAATAACCTGAAAAGGGTTGATAAGCCGTAAAAAACGAATCCATCAATATCGAGGATACGTGTAATTTCTATCAACGTTCTCGACGGAAACTTCTCCCAGCTACTAAAACTTGTATCTTAAAAAATGATTAATCTCCAGAACATTTTTCGACTTTAAATAACCCACAGAGGGTTGATATTCCGTAAAAAATTAAACTTTAAGGAAAATATATGTAACAGGTATTTACATTCAAACAAATATCCTCATCTTTTTGCTATTACAACGTTTCGATCGTTATGCTCTCCGGCCTTTTAGGTAACCTTAACCTTCAAGCAATGTATATAGAAGTTAATCCTTTATTTAATCTACAGAGATATACTGTTCTGGTTCCACAGTACACGTCTAGGGATATTTCGTGTTTTTTTTTATACTTTTTTTATACTGCTCAGTTATTATTCACCCTTTTCCCACCTAGTCTGGGACTATACTACTACCTGGTCCAGGGATCGAACTTACAGTTGATTTAATCCACTTGATTACAGTCCAACAGGACTGGACCAAAACTCTGGAGCCTTAGCCATGATGTTCTTTGAAAAGTGATGTTAATATTTTGATTGGAACTCTAATTTGAACAATTTGGTTGGTTTTTTTTTTGTTTTTTTTTGTTTGTTTGTTTTTTAGGAAGCTTAGTTTAGTTTGGCACGAGGTCACCAGTTTTCGGGTACTCAATGACGATCAAACTCACATACAACGAAACGCTCATAATTAGTTTCTCAAAGTTTCTTCGGGGTTTTATTTATTCTGTTCTGTTTCGGACCAGCAATTGTTTCTTGAGGCTTGGATTGGTGAATTGTCCAGAACAAGCATTGGTAAAACAGGATTTCACACACACACACGCACGCGCACGCGCACGCCCATATATGTATATATATTGAACAATAAAAAATATTAAAAAATTAAAATCTTCAGACACCCTGGGTTTTTATTATTATTTCATTTAGATTCCTCAACTAGTTTCGGCCAACATGGCCATCATCAGGAGAAAAATTTTCTGCTTGCTGGTAGCAGGGAACTACAGAAGTGAATGTCTTGATGGAGAAAATGAACTTTTGTCTGTAATTTTCATTTGTTTTTTTATTTTTTAACATGAATTTTGGTCAGTCCTTGTGTTGGTCAAACAGTCTCTTTTAAGTTGTTTTTTAAGATAAAAAGCTGGATGGATTCATGCTGCTCTGAATTCCCTTGGTCATTTTGACAGATTTATTGGTTCCTGGAAAGGGGATGTGTCTCTGTTAAGTGTGTGTGTGTTATTTGGTTCTTAGAGAGTGAGTGAGTATGATATGTGTAAGTGTGTATATTCGTGAGGCCTCAACACCTCCGTAAACATGTCTGTCTTATGCAGGCGAGAAATGTGGGTAGGTCCTGATTTGTTATATATACACACCCAAGATAGTATAAAACCAGAAATGTTCTTAGTCAATGGAAGTCTGAAAGAAAGAACATTAAAGGCAAGTATACTTTGCAATAACGTGCTCATATCGAAGATAGAGCATTAATCAGATTAATGCAAATAAAATTTGTCACTTAGCTGTTTGATATTATATTCAGCATTTCGACTCCAGAGTTTCGTAGACGAACCTTTTTTGTAATCGTTCTGTCAGCTCATCAGTAGGTATCTGACGAGTGGACTGAACGATTATGTTATCTTCAGTACCCCGACTCGCGGTGCCGAATCAATCAGCTAAGTGACAAATTTTATATTTAATATATATTTCTAAAGAATTAATGAATTTTATTTTTGCTCTGAGATATATATTATTTTAAACGTTAGAGTAATAAACATAAGTTCAGATGAAATTAAATAACAATCAAAATTAATAATAGTTTATCTAAAAGATAACATTCCGACTCTTGATAAAAAAAAAAAACACTAGAAGATATAAGAAAAGACAAAAGATTATAGAAGCCATTTACATCCAACGTAACTAGTCATGGATGTGCGGATAGCTCGAAATGAGAAATCGGAGATCCAAGTTCGAATTCCAGTCGAATTCGTTAAATTCACTTACACGCAAATATACTTGGATAAGGTATGAATACATTTATTCTGCCCCAGCTATGGTTTAAATACCAGGGCAGACTGGAATCTTTAGCCATGGTTGGTAATCGGTCTAAGAAAAGGACAACTGTATATGGGCCTGAAATTAAGTTACGGGCTTGTCCTTTGACAAGGCATAGCTCTCAGTTGATTTACAGTGAAGACATCGACAGTAGGATGTTGGGTGTGGTCAATGGCAGAATCTAACAGACCAGATTTGGTACTGAACTGCAAAGGTGTAATGCAAAAAGATCCGTCATATTGGACAATTTATGAGACCTAATTAATTCGATTTAGATAAAACAAAAAACAAAAAAAAAAACCCACAGGCACACAGAGTAGCACTTTTTGTTTTCTAACCCCTACCATGACACATGGGGGACGTCTCGACGGACGACCGAGTTAACAACCCATAGATATATAGCGATTTTCCAAGTGCAGCTTAGATGTGGCACAAGGCCGAAAGTAAGGGGCACCCAGTGAGGATCGAACTCAATACTCAGTCGTAGCTGTTCTAGCGAGACAAGCTTGCTAACCATTACACCGCCTCGAGGTGCGCAAATAAGGTGAAAGCGTAGCTTACATGTGGCACAAGGCCGAAATTATTGGGCACTTAGTGAGGATCGAACTCACTCATAAGTTTTTTAGCGAGACAAGCTTGCTGACCATTACATCATCTCGAGGTGCCCCAACCCATATAACTATTGATATCCCTCATTCTAGAATGTTTATAAAAATATTCCAAACTCGTATTTACACGTCGGTGCCACGTGACTTGCACACGCACACACACACACACACACACACACACACACAAGGTTCCACTTTCAAAAATTATATGATCTACTTTTTAAAACACTGTTTTCTCTCTTTCTCTCACTTATTTTTTCTTTCTCGCAATCTCTCTCTTATTTTCTCTTTCTCTCTCTCTCTTAATTTTTCTCTCTCCCTTAATTTCTCTTTTTCTCTCTCCCTTAATTTCTATTTTTCTCTCTCCCTTAATTTCTATTTTTCTCTCTCTCTCTCGCTCACACACATAATTTCTCTTTTTCTCTCTCTCTCTCTCTCACACACTCTTAATTTCTCTTTTTCTCTCTCTCTCACACACACTCTTAATTTCTCTTTCTTTCTCTCTCTCTCTCACACACACTCTTACTTCCTCTTTCTCTCTCTCTCTCTCTCACACTCTTACTTCCTCTTTTTCTCTCTCACACTCTTACTTTCTCTTTCTCTCTCCCTCACTTTCTCTCTCTCCCTCACTTACTTTCTCTCTCTCTCTCACTTTCCTCTCTCTCACCTTCTCTTTCTCTCACTCTTACTTTCTCTTTCTCTCTCTCGTTCTCGTTCTCTCCCTATCACATTTTCTCTCTCCTTATATCTTCCTTGCAGCCTCTCTCTCCTTATATCTTTCTCTCTCTCTTTCTTTCAATCACTGGTTCACGCACATACCCTGATGATGACTCATATGAGTCGAAAGTGCAAGCCTATATAACATGAATTTTAGCAAAATTATCCGCACATAACAACCATGTTTGTGTTACGAAAGGATACATTCGTACATTAGGGGAAAAGCATTAAATTTAATACCCACACGACCTATATTATAAGCGATCTGTTTCTCCATCAGTCGACACTGTCTCCGTGAGACTTTACCTACATGTATGTAATGTGTGTGTGTGTGTGTGTGTGTGTGTGTGTTACTACCTTGTGTACTTTTACCATTTCATGTACACACAAGCATAGGCATTGAGTCTCGATTTAACACATTGGAATAATGCGTTCCTTTCCCATTCAGTTTCTTTTTAAATAATGTTCCCAAAGAGCCAGTCAAGATAGAGTGTTTCAGAGTAAGAGATCAGAGATGCAGTTTATCGGGGGAATATATGCAGAAGGTATCGGTTAACCGTAGACTAGAACAGGTTAAGCTTGTTGTGATCTGGGAACCGTTCTCTTGAGAGTCGCTTCCACAAAGTAGCGATTTGCGACAATCTTTTCGGGGTTATTTGATGAAAAGTAATTCATCGCCCATAAGGACGCGGGGACACTTTTGGACTTTATCGAGATTGGAAAGTGAAGACTGGGTAGCTCCTTTCCATATATGGCAGTAGTACTCCATTTTCGGCTTCATCTGGATCTTGTAATGGTTGGTAGGAGGAGTCAGGTGATTACTGGAGCGGTACAGTAAGCAATGGATCGTATGTACAAATTCCATTCGAGGTCTGGATTGAGCTTAAGTCTCAAGGCACGGAGCCTCCCTGTTAATTGCGATAGGCGAAAATTCAGGACCCGCTCGGTGATTATTGGACATCACTATTTTGGTTTGGAGCCATTGAATGTGACCAGCCATTTTTTCCCCACAGCGAGGCTCTAAAATTATAGAATTGTGGAAAAGAGGAAAGATAAAAAAAAGTCAGGTTATTATAAGATTTCATAAGGGATTTTCGGAAATTATTCTGTAATAAATAGAATCATTTAAAAAAATTTTTTTTTAATTTTGTAGAAATATATTTAGGTTTTTCCTTGAATTAAAATATACATGTGCACACAATTTGAATGGAATTGAATTTGACATCTGTCAAATTATCATCTGTCAAGTTGAATTAAAATGTACATCAGCACACAATTTGA